TACAGCTGGCTCTGCCTCTAGATGGGCAGAGCCAGCCATCACTCACGCAGCTGGGCGGATCCCGTCATCTACGTCGGGATCCGCTCCAGCTGCGGCGTCTTAGTATACCGCGAGCTGTAGCTCGCGGTATACTGAGCTTAGGGTAACGGGAGGACGCTAGTTTGTGTCCTCCCGTTACCCTAAGGAGAACTATGGGGGAAAACACTGACCCCATAGTTTTCCTTTTAATTAGGTGTTTTTATGGCTTGGAACAACTGGTCTCCCATCCAGTAATAGAGGCTGCAACTGCGCGCCTCCTAGATTCTTGGAATGTCACCATGCCTAATGCTGCTGGGGTTTGCTCTGAACTGGAACAAGTACTACATTTAAGAGCCTGACAGTGTGCATTGCTGGAAGGGAACCTTGTATGCGACATAACAGCAGTTCTAAAAGGTTCACTTTAAAGTTGGCTTCAGTTCATTAAAGTCGGTTATTTGACGTAACTGACCATTCCTTTTTATTTTTGTTTTTTGTTTTTTTTTGTTACCAAGGTTAGCAAAAACCTAACGCTCAAACATCATGAATTATACTTGGCATAGTTATGCTTTGAATGACAGTAACAATGTTATCTACGGCTGAGGCTGTCAATCAGCATTACTCATAGAAATAGTTGCTATAAACTGCGTTGTTACAAGGAAAAAGCTAGAATAAAAATTCTACACCAAAGCGTACATCAAAAGTAAAACATGGATATATACAGTAGGTCTGCTGGTCCCTCTTGCGGCAACCAATATGGATCTGTCTGGGAAGGAGGCATTGATTGGCTGAGCAGCCAGTCGGAATCTCCAACCCATGCAGATCTAGTCCTTTTCCTGCAGCTAAGAGAGGAAACATGAAGGGGCAGAATGTTTATAATAACAGTCTTAAGGGAGATCAGCAGACCCTAAGGGCCCATGCGCACCACTGTGCTGCAGTAATGCTTGTTACATGCTTTGGTGTGTTGCAGAACCATTCATTTTCAGTGGCAACCCATACACCTTTACAACACGCATTGCACTGCCATTTGTTGTGCTGTGCTGGGATACAGAAAATGCAGCAGATGCGATTTTTAGGTCCTTTGTCATGCATCAGGAACCCATTCATTAAATGGACTGCCTTAATGTGACACACATGCAGAGGATCTGCCTGGTGTAAATGGGCCCTAAGTCTAATTTTGGGTTTAAGTCCGCTTTAAGTGGGTTATTTGTATCTGTAATTGAAAACAGATTTATCCTATAAGCTGGCTGAGGTCAAACCTTAGCAGTGTGTCAGGCTGTGAATCCCCTGTTGTAGTGCTTAAGGACAGATAAACAGTAGACTTTGCCAGGAGGTATATCTGTCATGTGACATCAGCCGCCCTGGAAAGAAGTAGACCGATTTTGCTGAGGTTTCGGAATGGAAAGTATTTTGCATGTGGCTGTTACAAGGTGGTTGGAAAAATGTACTGGCTGGCTTGGACTGCAGTGTATCTGGAAGCCAAATGATTTGGGAAGGAATGCAAATTTGTCTACTTTAACATTTCTTTTATATGGAATAAAGCTTCAATAACAACTAGTGAAAATATTATACAAGGCTTGTAGAAAAGGATTTTTTTTATTTTCAACAATTCATTTTAAAGGTAACCGCTCACACTTGTGTATTTCAACTAAGTACTTGGCAGTGTGCCTCAGGTGTCACTTTAAAGAGCGACATCAGGACGCTTTATCTTAAAAATTTAGGTGGAAATAAGTGTAAGCCTCAAATTGCTCTTTGGCTGTTTTTAAGAGCTCAGGCACTTTGAAAATTCAGATTCCCTGCAGTGCTTTCGATCCCTGCACATACTGGTTCGAGTGCCTGCTTGCAGGGTACTACATTAAATAGTCTTGCTCATCAACTACTGATAGGTTATATTTAATATGCAGAGCAGTGATCTGGAACCGGACGTGTGCCAAAAATGGTAGTGCTGTGGGGAAACGGTTATTCAAAATTAGTGGTGCAGAAAAACAAAGCACAAGACATACTTGTGTATTTCACATGTGAATTTAGCTTGGACTTGAAAATGTGACATTCTAACGTGGTCCTGGCCTCGCCTTTTATCTACAGCTTGGATGAGAACTGCCCCAGGCAGCCTGCCTCTCCCAGTCTGAATTCCACTCTGCAAGTACAAATGGCCAATATAATGACAGATCATGGTACAAGTAATGATTTTAGTACATAACTGGGTTAAAGAGAGCATTTTATAGCAACACACAATTCTGCTTTGATGTGTGCGGTGAGTTAATGCTTGTCAGTTAACATGCATTGCATTGAAGCAGCCCATTCATTTGAACACGAATGGCACCCCATTCACTTCCATGTCCTCCCACTCAATAGACCAGGGGTTGCAAAACCGGCCCTTCAGCTATCATGAAACTAAAAACCCATTTAGGCATTGCAGGACTATAACAGCCACAGACATGACTTCCAGCGGTAGATGCAAGATGGAACTTGTAGTTTCACCACAGCTGCAGGGCTGAAGTTTGACTACCCCTGCACTAAACCATATGAAACATCAGTGCCATTAACTCTTTTCTTAAACTCCACATTCCTCAACCAATTAGCTTTTTTAAGGTGGCCATACACTGGCTGAATTTCGTCTGGATTTTAATGTACCGGCCGAAATTTGGCCAGTATATAGGGCTGTCGGTTCCCTTTCAGCCGGCGTTCCTCGATCAGCTGATCGAAGGAGCCAGCTGGAAAATCTTTGTACGATCAGAGCGGGCAGCCAATGAGCTGCCCGCTCTGATCGGGTATTCTCACAGGTGGCGGCGGCACCTGTCAGAATACAATGCAAACATCGGCGGTTCCTCGATCGATGCGCCGTTTGTGTTGATGGAGGAATAGTGTCAATTTCTTCTGTTTAGCTCGCAAGTTGAACGAAAGAAATTGACAGGTGTATGGCCAGCTTTAGTGAGTGCCAGGACTCCTGTAGGCACAGGTTTCTCTCAGACACTCCATAGCCAGATCAATAACTGGGTTTTAAAGCGTCCAACTGATAAATGTTAAGTAAACCTGAGATTGCAGGTATATGCTGTACAAGTTGGATATTCGTTTTTGGATACAATGATTTATGTCAGACTTCTTGCTGATTGGCCCACCAGGTAGACTGTGCAGGAATGTACTGTGAAATAGAGCTGCAGCTAACGATTATTTTCAAAATCGATTAGTTAGCCGATTATTAAGTTCGATTAATCGGATAGAAAATTAAAGTTTAAAAAAACGGCTCCATTGATGGGACTGCTAGTTTGTATTGCGATTGTAGTCCATCACAGGAGCAAACTTGGAGCGGTGGAAGTAAAAAAGAAAAAAAAAAAGTGTGGTGTGCAATATAGTGAAATTAAAAGTGTAAAATTGAATGAATGCAGAATGGCACCGGCTATAGAGGACTACAAAACCCAGCAATAATGCATTATAGATGGCGGTATTCTGCATTGCGCTGTATAATGTACTATTGCTGGGTTTTGTAGTCCTCTATAGCTGGTGGTGTTCGGCATTGTGCTGTATAATGTATTATTGCTGGGATTTGTTGTACTCCTCTATAGCTGGTGGTATTGTGCTGTATAACGTATTATTGCTGGGATTTGTAGTCCTCTATACAGCGCAATGCAGAATACCATCAGCTATATAGGAATACAACAAATCCCTGCAATACATTATACATACAGTGTATAATGTATTCCTCTATAGCTGATGGTACATTGCTCTGTATAATATACAGTACAGCACAATGTACCATCAGCTACAGAGGAATAAAAATCCCAGCAATACATTATAGAGCACCATGTGTGGGAAAGTGCAGTCTTACCTGAGCAGTCTTCCAGCAACTTGCTTCCGAGATCGGGCCTGTCTATCTGCCGCTGTCATCCCCCACCTTCTCCTCCTTACTACTTCTCCCCGCGTCCCTGTGCCGGTCGTGGATGTGGGCGGGCGGTGAGCGTGAGGCGGGGAGGAGGTGCGGCGTGTGTAGCGTGGATGCGGGCGGGTCTGGCAGCGGCGAGCGTGAGGTGGGGCGCGCAACGTGTGTGGAGCTGTGGACAGGGGCACCTTATCAAAAGCCGATTAATCGATTATTGAAAAAGTTGACAACTTTTTCAATAATCGATTATAATCGATTATGTTGATTAGTTGTTGCAGCCCTACTGTGAAAACACTTTAGCTCTGTGAAGTTCTGTAACTTTAGACATTACAGGCAGACTTTAAAATTTACATTTTAGCTTCTAGCAGGTAAAATAAGACACCATGTGATCTAATAAAGTACTGTAGGCAATCAAACGTATTAGGGATATTGTTACATAGAACTAGCATAAATACCCGAGTCTTTTGATAATTAGCCTCCTATAATTCCCTGCACAGCAGCAGTCACACTAGGAGAGAGATGGGGAGCAATCTGAGCCAATCAGACTGTCAACTTTCAGTGCTAACTTGATTACAGGAGGGGAGAGCAGAGAGATGCTTTCCATCAGTGTTCTACTTTGTCTAGTCATAGGCTGGGGCAAATTTCTGACCTAGTGGTATTGCTTAACTGAAAAGTCACTGACCTGGCTGTAGAGAATTCTAAATTCTTTGGCAGGTAAAGCAGATCATGTAAACATAGTTGGAAATTGGCCTCAAGTTGGAGTGGGGTTAGTAGGCAGTGACAGAACATCACAGTATGTTCACGCACCTATGTCAGTTTCACGTTTGCTAACCCATGTTTGTTCTGGAACAAAAAGTGTTTCTTCGTTGGAGGTACATTAAATGCAGCATAACACTTCATCCACTTGGCCAACAGTCCCAAAGTATATTCAGGCTCAGTTTAGTGTGGCGTATTTCTCTTGAATGTTCTATTGAGAGCTGAAATAAACACAATGGCAACCTTGACAGTTGGCATGGCTTAAAAATAACTGTTTTGGGAAACATTAAATTGTTGGGTAAAGTTCCTCTTTAATTTCCCCCTGAGAAAAACTACCTACAGCAGCCAACACCCAATAAGTGTGCCTTTCCAAAAATGTATGATATAAATATGAAAATATAAATATATACAGTATATCTATTATAGATACAAAAGCATTTTTATATATCTACTTATGACTAATCCTCTCCAGACACTTATTGCATGGTTTAATATGTTCTGTTTTTGGATATCACATTGTTCTCGTTTCAAACACTCAAAAACCCACCAGGAATTGAATCATCCCCTTCAGAAATGCATTTACCCTCTTGGGTGGACCTTTTATACTTGACCTTTTATAAACATTAAGCTGCCCTTTAATATCTATTGAGCCACTCTCTTTAGTATAGATCGATCTTGGATAGTGATGATGTGCACGGAATAAACCTAATCCGCATAGTGTAATACTGAAGACCAATTGTATTAAAAAGAATAAACCAAATAAAACTCCTAAATATTGTGCACTTAAACCAGTGCACATAGTACAAGTTCTCCGCAGCCTCTGGTGTTTTCCACTCAGTTTCACTACAATGTTGTGCTCACATGACAGGGTGGCACATATACCCTCTCCATTATTACTTTGTGCCTTCCTTAATTCATATTCATTATACAATGGTATAAAATGTGACCACTACAGTGATTTCAGAATCCTAGATATATTGAAAGTGGGCCATTTAAATGCCTTGCTATCTTAGTCTACTCTTAGAAAATGGCACCTCCATAGTGACTTGGTAGCTGGCAATATCCTAAACCGCATTAAGCAAAAGTTTGTATGCTGCAATTGCTGACTGCCTGGCACCTTGAAGCTTCATCTTTAATTCCCTCTTCCAGATCATGTATACAAATTGGAAGCTCAGACTTCACTGGCTACTTAGGTGTTCAGGGTCAGTGATTTGCTAATTAGAGAGAATAGAATAACCAGGCAACTAGCATGCTTAGAAGAGCATTAGCAAAGGCATCACATGTGTTTTCCTCACAATGGTGTCCTTCAAAAATGGAGTTATGCACCATCCATAACTTCATCTTTAAAGGACACCATTGTGATGGAAATACATGTGATGCCATGGAAATGGAATTATGTGCTACACATGATGAACAAAATTGTTAGCATTGTTTTGAAAGCATTTTTAAATATTTATGATTGCTAACACTGACGTTCCCCAGAGCCACTTGTCATATAAATATTTTTGTTTTTTTTAGTCCCTGATCACTCTAGAAGATGGTGTATTGAAGCATGTGCAGAAATGGAATGGGAAAGAGACCACGCTGTTACGAGAAGTAAATGATGACAAACTTCTCCTTGTGAGTATATTATACATACAATAAGGAAGTTCTTTGGCTCAGTGGTGCAGATTTTATGTATACACATTCTGTGAGTTTTGACCTCCACACCTGACTTTGAGTTGAGATTGCTTTGACTTTCCATTCACTTCAAACAATTACTCACTTGTATTTGCTTAGCTATCTTGTTCAAACCACTTTGCATTGTTTAACCCCTATACAGACATAGCGCAGCACTCACCAGCCTAACCTTGTTCTTGGAGTCTTTAAGCGCCCTCTATTGAAATGTGTGAACTGCACGTGAATTAATAATGCAATGTAAAACTAATGAATTAAAGGAGAACTATGGGGTCAGTGTTTTTCCTCATAGTTCTCCTTAGGGTAACGGGAGGACACAAACTAGCGTCCTCCCGTTACCCTAAGTTCAGTATACCGCGAGCTACAGCTCGCGGTATACTGAGACGCCGCACCTGGAGCGGATCCCGACGTAGATGACGGGATCCACCCAGCTGTGTGAGTTGACAGCTGGCTCTGCCTACCTAGAGGCAGAGCCAGCTGTACCCGCCCCCTCCCCCGTCCGTTCCGCCAGTCAGCGCTGGCAGATCGGAGCGGGGAGAGGGGAATCCAGCCCCTCCCCCTGTCACGGCAGAGAGCCGTGACAGGATCGAGAGGTGAGCGAACCCGGTATGTGTTCGCTCACCTCCCGTTCTAAGGGGCCGACCTGTGACAGTCTCATTGTCACAGGTCGGCTTAGAACTATGAGGTGAGTGGAAATCACTCATCTCATGGTTCTCCTTTAAGTGTAAATCGAAGACATAGGGGTTGATATACTAAAAGGCAAATAAGCTGTTAACTTTGCAAGGGAATTTGCACTTTGCACAAGAATATTTGCCGCAGCTTGGTGAATGTGGTAAAATTTCACTTAGCATAGTGAATGAGATGAACTTCTGCTGACATCCATTTGCTTCCTTGAAGGTATTTGGGTATTCTTTGCAAAGGGAAAACTTCCAGCGCAAAGTGCAAATTCCCTTACAAAGTGAACATCCTATTTGCCTTTAGTAAATCAAGTCCACAAAAGTACAGTATGAAACATTTGAGCTTCCTTAATATCTTGCTGCAGGAAGTGTTCGGTATGGTATGGTCCAGGGGTAGTGAATTAAAATTCAAGGAGATCCGAATCATGGTCCGGACAGAACGGTCACTCAGACAGTGTCCAAACCACGGTCCGCCCCGTAGACTGCATTTACACCAGCAGCTGCACCACCACACATAGCTGCTGGTGTTCTTGGCACAGTGCTGATGTGCCAATCCCAGCACTTTGCACTGTTTATTTAAAAAAAAAATGTTGTTAGAATTTCCGCCTAGATTACATACATGTACATGCCTTATGCTCACAGAATGTTCATCAGAATCATATGGCAGGGTTGATTTTATTTTTTATTTTTCACTGTAGAATATGATTTTTGATATCATATTTTTATGTCATATTCTTGTTCTTAAGGTAAAAAGTTCAAAAGAGGAAAAAATAGCTTCCGTTCTTGCTTAAAACTCAAAAATGTGTTTAGTTACAAAGTTACAAATGATTACAAGATTAATAGCATAAAACAAAATATAGAAATATATGTAGCTGTATAAATATATTCTTGTAAGTGTTTAAAGTGTTAGTTTCTGTCCCTCATGTCTGTCTCCTGCATACCAGCGTGTGAGTCCTTTGTGCTCCAGTCCCATCTAGCCTTAACTGTAATCTGAAACTTAGGCTACTATTAGGATAGAAGGGGGATGGGGATAGAGGATTCTTGTGTTGAATGCAAACTATAATGCAAACTATAATGCATTCAAATAAACCATATAATGTTACAAGTACCAATAGTTATACATAATTCAGTGTTCTTTCTTATATGAATAACTTAATCAAGAAATATTACAGTAAAGAGATATAATACGTACTTTGTAAATACCATAAACTTTGACTTAGAATATCTCTGTCTTTCTTGATAATAAGGAACGTGGGAGGTTCTAACCAGAAGGCATGATTGATGAGTACCTTATGTGCACCCTAACCCTAATTCTACTTTCTAGAAAACTAAAACCATGGACTTTTATAAGTCAACTTGCATTTATTCCTTAACTGAACAAATGTATATAGAAAATCAATCATCACTTATGTCCATCACATGCATACATAATCTCTAATGAATAATACCCTTTTAACATTCACCCACTTAACTTTTACTATCGCAAAATGACTAACAAGGCCCTATGTGACAGCATTTTGAGGTGACACCCCACCCCTTGCCTCAAGAAGCAAAAAGTGTAAGGACACCCCTGGCTAGAGCACACATAGGTGGGCACAACAATTATGGCAGGGATATCCCACTTTTGGATTACGTAAGACCTATACGTGGATCCTGGTGGGCTGAGTAAGTCTCTGGCTTTTTATAACTAAAAAATCACTCTTGGCTGGACTGATCCTTTATCCATTTGAATATCGTTTTTATCTTCAGCATTTTTTTAAAAAGATCTGCGACACTCTGCAAAGCAAATGCTTTGTTCTTACCTCGGTTATGTGCTTCCTGGGTGTAAGCAGTAACTTAATTTATACACTTCATCTACCTTTTCATCACATAATATGTAGGCAATCGTATACAGTGATTTCTAAAAAAAAGTGACTCCAGAAGTTTTTCAAACAAAAAAAGAATGAATTATCCTTGGCCAAAATCCAGATGTGAAAATGTATACAATTCATAAGGTTGTTTTCAAAGGGATGTTGAGTTATGCCCCTGGTGCCCAACCTGCAGCATGAAGACCACATTCAGCCCCCAATACGTTTTTGTGCAGCCCTCAGACCCCAATAGTCGGTAGTTGAAGCATTGATGTGTAAAGGAGTAATAGTGGTGTTCTCTATTACCTTCATGTAACATGTTCCCAGTCTTTCACTGTATTCTACAACATGTCTAGAGTTTTCATCCAAATCTATAGCATGTCCACAGTGTCTAACCATAATCTCCTCCTAGCATGTCTGCAGTCCCTGATTACAAATACTGAACATTATATGTAACCCTGGGCCCTTAGTGATGTCAGGGGGCACAGTTGAAGCCCTCTGTACCTCGTACAATGAGGACCACTGAGTTACTGTGAGGCTATGCATTAAATATATTCTTCTGCTATAGATGTAACTGTTCATCACATTTTTCAACTTTTAATTTTGAATGCACTGCAGACACCTATTATGCGTGTGTATATGTATTTTGTTTGCTTATAGGCAGGGAATTTTAACAAACTTGGTACAATAACTAATATTAACATATACGTCCCATAACTAAAACACTGAACACTTTTTCTTTTTACACAGACTCTAACCCTAGGAGATGTCATCAGCACCCGTCACTATGAAAAAGCTTAAGAACAAGCTACATCGACCTAAGTTTAATGTCTACAGCATTTCCTCATAACCGTTTTGTTCTTTCACTACTTGTTTCCTCTCTTGCCATCTGGGCTACAACAGCAGTATTATGAATCCTTGGGAAGGTCTGATGAAGCACTGACTGAAAACTTGCTATATTTTTATTTGTGCCTCAGTGCCAAAGATGTCTGTTTTTGCAGTTTTTGTATTCTCATAGCTTACTACTTTTGGGAAAAAGAAACCCCCTGTAAATAAATACAACCATTGAACCCATCACAAAGGGCTGAAATGTTACAGGATCATCCATGTAGAACGAGCATCAACACCGCATGGTTTCTTTTATATAATGTCATTCTCTCTGATGTTTTGAAATATAGAGGTACTTTTGTTACCTGTCACTCGCTCGCAGTTGAAGCAGACATTTTGCTCGGCCTTGAGATTTTTTTTCTATTCCTTTATCCTTTCGTTTAGGACTTAGAAATATTAAGGCCCCATTTCCATCTGTACAATTTAGGCGTGGTGCACTGTATGCACATTATACATGCTTTACCATTGAATTCTATGTAACCCACCCTTGGCACATTAACAGTGCAGTAAGCAGGTCCTTTTTTTAATTCACGGTACCCACAATGCATCTAAAATGCGCAGATTGAAACTTGGGCCTTTTAGCAAAGCACCTTCAAGGCCCATTCACGTCAGCTATTGTCTATTTTTGCATTTATATGGCAAAATGCAATGGGCTAGACATCATAACCCAAATCAAAAAATCATAATTCATCTTGCACTGCTCTGTCTGGTTGGGTTACAGAATTCTGTACAGCATGGTGGCTCTTCAGTGCCTTGCCAAATAAGCCCCTTAAAGACAGATAATCCTCTTAGAAACACAACAACGTATTTAGCTGTATCCACCCGCAGTATTTTGCATTTGTACACTAGTCTGTGAAACCCTTAATACATTTTTATAGTACCAGAGGAATACGTGGGTTAATATATGGACTTATCTTGTGAAAAATAACAAGCAAATAACTTTTGATTGTTTTAAAAGTTATTAAACAAGCAGGAGAATGTAGCAAGATGCGCATGGTGATATGTAAAATGGAATATGTGTATCTATTTGTTATTGGGTGCTACAGTGTTATTTTTACACCCTTCTAGTATGCTGCATTGGGTTCACTCTTGGTGGAAAAATCCAAATGTGTACAATTCTTTTTTTTTTTTTTTTTAACCTATGCTGTTGTATCCACAAGTTTGTTTTGAAGTCCAGTTATTAAGAGTTTTTTCCTAAAATACTTAAATAACTTGAGTTTCCTTATATCTTGTACTGGCTAATAACCATTCCTATACATTGTTCAGGAGTCAGAGGTAACAAGCACTGAAACTGTCATGGTTTCCTTGACAGCCGTATTGTAAAGTGACCTGTCAACACTGTAACCCAATTAAATATTGATTTGTCAAAACAGTTGTATTATTCCTACAATGAATGTGCTTTGTAGACAAAAAAGTTCCATGTTAAATAAACTTCCGTTTACTAAACAACTTTTGGCTTTGGCTTGTAGTTATTTCAGCATGAAGGTAAGGACCTACCGATTCTTGAAGAAGATCTTCAGCCAAAAATAACAAAACCAGCTATTGCTGCAATATTTAGAATATATATACTTTTACTTGGCTATTTCTTTTTATCCTATCTTCGGTCCAGAGATTCCACAGTACTTTTTTTGCCACTAGATGTCCTCCGTGGGTTCGCATCATTGAACCCACTTCCTCTGAGCCCAGGTTGTTCTTGACCTGTCCAAGCATGTTACCGTACAGTGAAAGAAGAATCGGCACAGTGATGAGTTCATCTCTCTGTCACTCTGTTCCTATCAGAATTCTTCTTTTTAGCACATGAACTGATCGGCTGCTTGTGCTTCTTCCTTTCGCACTCCAGCCATGTTGTACTGAGACTGCAAAAGGTTGATAGCAAGTCTAATTTATGCACTTATATTGTTTCTATACAGGAAAATTGTATTGGCCATTAGTAAATGAGCCGAATGAGCACCTGGCTATAGCAGGTAAGCATAGATTAACCTGGAGTGATGCACATATAGTTTTTTTTAATGCAAGCAGTATAAGTAAAAAAGCAATTTATTTGATGTATTATTCATTACAAAGTTGCATCAATTTGTTGAGCTTATGTACCGATTCACACCATATGCGTTGGGACTGCCGTTTTTTCTCCAGCGGGGCCCCAATTCAAGACAAGGTAATTTGCCTTGTCACAGATGGGCAGCACACACCACTGAGTTGTGATAGCAAATGGTGTGCGTTGATCAAAAGTATGGCATGCAATACTTCTTTTCAGCGGCATGCAATGCAGAACAACCACATCACAAAAAAAAAAGTACACAGTGCAATGTGCCAGGAGTGACGCATCAGCAGTGTGCTGGGCACTGCATACCAGCTGCTGTGCAATCAGCACACAGTCTGACTCCAGCCACTGTTTGGTTTTTTTTGCTATACGTGGGTGGGGAAGATTTAACATTTCTGCAGGTTTTTATTACTGTATGGGACACCATTGGGGAGATATTCCTTCACTTTTATGATGTATTAAAAATTACAGAGCTGCATCAAATAGTGTCTTTTATACCTGTCCAGAGTTCAGCTTTAAAGTGACCTTTATAAGCACAAAATATTTGTACTGAAAATGTATATTTCTTAAATAACTATTTGAAGTTATTTACTGTATGGTCATGAGCTTTTTATAATATTTCTTGGGGCTCTTGTAGATGGGTGTTATCTTACGTTCCCTGAACCTGTTTAGCATATGTTCATGTACTCTCACTTTAATAAATCCTTTAGGTCACAGCTGGTCAAAAACCTTTACAGCACTCGAAGGAGTTGGCAAACTCTATGCTGTGCATTTGCATCCAAAGCATAGCTCTCAGTTGGTGTACATTGAGACATGGGACCTGCTCCTGCAATAAGCTGAATAGGCAATCTCTCTACCAGGAACAGATTTTCAGAGCCAGGAGGCTTCAGACAGAATTACTAAAAACTGATGTCCTTTAAAGTGGACCTAAACTTAAGACGCAATTTTAGCCCTAACATTTAGAAATGTTAGGGCTGCTGCACAAGGCCTCCAAGGTCAGTGTATCATAAAAAATAGCCTGATCTTTGTTCCTGGGAGCCACAGGTACAAATCAATAACAGGTTCTGACTTTAGACAGTTAATTGCATCCAGGGGCATACACCCGAAACTGTACACATTCGGAGCAGCAGACAGTCTGGAACAAATACACTCAAAACAGGCAGAGTAGAGCTGCAGCTAACGATTATTTTCAAAATCGATTAGTTAGCCGATTATTAAGTTCGATTAATCGGATAGAAAATAAAATACATTTTTAAAAAATGGCTCCGGTGATGGGACTACTAGTTTGTATTGAGATTGCAGTCCATCACAGGAGCAAGCTTGGAGCGGTGGAAGCGGTAAAAAAGAAAAAAAAGAAAGTGTGGTGTGCAATATAGTGAAATGAAAAGTGTAAAATTATATAGCAATGAATGCAGAATGGCACCGGCTATAGAGGACTACAAAACCCAGCAATAGTACATTATACAGCACAATGCAGAATACCGCCAGCTATAGAGGAATACAACAAATCCCAGCAATAGTACATTATAGCTGGCGGTATTCTGCATTGTGCTGTATAATGTACTATTGCTGGGTGTTGTAGTCCTCTAAAGCTGGTGGAATTCCGCATTGCGCTCTATAATGTACTATTGTTGGGTTTTGTAGTCCTCTATACAGCGCAATGCAGAATACCACCAGCTATATAGGAATACAACAAATCCCAGCAATACATTATACATACAGTGTATAATGTATTGCTGGGATTTGTAGTCCTCTATAGCTGATGGTACATTGGTCTGTATAATATACAGCACAATGTACCATCAACTATAGAGGAATACAAATCCCACTATCCCAGCCATAGATTATAGAGCACCATGTGGGGAAAGTGCAGGCTTACCTGAGCAGTCTTCCAGCAACCTGTTTCTGAGATCGGGCCTGTCTATCGGCGGCTGTCATCCGCCCACACCTGCTCCTCCTTACTTCTTCTCCCTGCGTCCCTGTGCCGACCGTGGATTTGGGCGGGCAGTGAGCGTGAGGCAGGGAGGAGGTGTGGCGTGTGGAGCATGGATGCGGGCGGGTCTGAGGTGGGGAGGAGGTGTGGCGCGCAGCGTGTGTGGAGCCGTGAACAGGGGCAACCAATCGGAAGCCGATTAATCGATGATTGAAATAGTTGACAACTTTTTCAATAATCGATTATAATCGATTATGTCGATTAGTTGTTGCAGCCCTAAGGCAGAGGCTGTACACTAGTAAATGCTGTTATTTCTTTGTACAGGTGGGCTGTACACAGATCTGGCTGTTTTTCTTATGGTACATGGACCTTTGCGCCCATGTGAATGAGCCCTAAATTGTGCCTAAACAGGTAAATGTTTCAGTGTACTTTTTTTTTCTTAAATTCCTCTTAAACAATATAAGTGCACTTCCTGGTATCCGAGGATGCCTAGGCACCACTGTGCCTACAGCTGTATACAGTAGCTATATATCTGTAGTGTGAAATCTAAGGCACTCCTGCCTCTGACTGCTGTCTCACCAGATTTGGAGTGAGCTTTAGTAATGTCACTATTGTGCTGCACACTATTCACCTTGCTGGACATTTTGATGGAGACAGGGCTTTGCTTCCACAAATCAGAGACGCAATGCAGGACAAGGCATGGCAAGTTAGGAATATGGAAAAGATCAGCTGCAGGTAGTCAATACTGGGGACTAGTCATTTGCGTTTTGCTTGCTCTTTTTTTGGCCACAGCTTCCAGAGTTCAGTTCCTCTTTAATAATATAGTAATTGATTAGTCTTAGCAAAGAGCATCCTATTCCGGAATCATTTACAAAACATTAACTATCATTCTTGTTTTCCTCTGACTATGAACAGGCTTCTAAAATGCACCACTGTCAGTACTTTCAATAATACGTATACTGAACACTCCAGGATGAACCGAGAAGAAACAAGTTTTTTAAAACATCACTACCTGGTGATTCTCTGGCCTGGAACAAGCATACAAAATATACTTTAGACTTCATTGGCAGCATGCTTGTTTTGAGCCAGATGCTTACAAAGTACCAAAACCCATGATGTCAATGGATCTAAAAGTGCCATTTGGTGAGTCTGTGTGATGAGGCCTCAATATTAAAGCTACCCCAGGCATCATTAGTTTTAGCCAAACTGGACCAATGTAGGTATGCAATCTAAGTATGCCATAGCCAGAGCTATTTTAGCACTGGCCGTGATCTTCTGGGTGCCAGTACTGTGCTGTGCTTCATGGTTTCACTTCTGAAAACACAGGCAGTTGCTCTCTCAGCACAGAGACCATTTAGAGAATGCCTGGTAACTTTATTAATGAATAAATGGAGTTCTCTAATTGGACGAAGGGTGGATTGTGACATCACTGCCCTTCATCCAATCGGAGACATACTTTAAATGTATTTTGTTAAATGTGAGCTGTGTAAATAGCTAAATTTGGCTTGCTATTGGCCTCTTGTAGTTTCTGTTCATCATTCTCCTTCTTTTACTGCCTAGACACATGCTGAAGGAAGGTCAAGACCTGTAAGTGTTACTTAACTGCAGCAGAAAAAAAAAATCGGCTCCCTTTTACAGTATGTACGTCAACATTTAGCTGTTTGCTGCTTTAAAGAAAACAAGTTTTAGTTATGGAGCTTTTTAGATGCGGTCACATACCCTTTGTTAAAGTACTCTATACTGTATTAAAGACACAAGGGTGGGCTAGGATTTATAAACTATGGAGACATTGATCAAGCACATCAGTATCACCGTCACAAATCAGGCTGCATCTCACTCAGCAAAGTCTCTGCCACAGGTTTACAGTCCTGTATGTCTGGGCAGACAAGTGCGACAGTTTGCAAAGTTACAACAGCTTTAGTACAGAAGCTGAGGCAGATTTTCCCCTCTAAAAAGTCACATAATTAGGACGAGGTCAGGATCAGGTTTTATTTAGTCACAATACCTCTTACAATCAGCTGAGGAAGGAATGTATGTCTCAAGCTGTAGTAAAGCTGTTGCATGAACTGTCTCGCTCCTCCCGTTCAGCATTGTGTTGCCATGCCACAAAATTGATAAATGTCCCCCTATGAGTTAATACTTTTCTAAGACCTGGTTTCTCACCTGGGCTTTTCCAACTGCTCAAAAAGGCCTAACACAAGAAATCCCATGATTTTCAATGGCCCCTCTTCACACCTGAGCAGCAAAACACTAGCAAGACAACGCCAAATGCCAGAAAAGGTACACAAGCTTCTCTGGAAAGTTAACAGCGTGTTTTTGCCCCATAGACTTCAATGGTGACATCCAAAAAATCATGGCAGAAGCATGTTGCATCTTTTTGTGTGCATTTTTACGTGAGTTTGTTCTTTGCCTGCAATGTTTCTTAAGCTGCCAGTCAAAATGCACTTCTTCATATACGTGTACATGTTCACGTACGTGTACAAACGCATGTCAAAATGTGCAAAACGTACAAATAACCGCACGCTGAACCGATGCCGCCTAGGTGTGAACCTGGCATAAGGAAAAAAAGAAAATACCAATATGATGGGTTAACTTTTTTTTTTTTTTTTAAGACAAATCCTGTTACCATCAGCATGGCCTTACCCTGTGTTTGCTTTGCTGCAAAACTTCCTAGTTACCACTAGAGAAGACAAGAGACCAGCTGCGCTTGGAGCTATATGAGCAGCCTGTCCTCTGGGAGCAGAGCAGGAAGTACTCAGAGTCAGGGGACTGCAGACTACATTGATGGAAACAGGATATATATGTTATGTTACCTTCATATTGGCTGTTTTTCAGAGGTTGCTGGCTTACATAGTAAAAGTGGATTTATATTTTAAACTTGTAAAAATATTTCCATCCAAAGGAAACAGAGGTATACAATCTTATTGTTTTCATGAATCTTCTGTAAAGTATAGTTATAAACCTAATAACCAGTTAGGAGACAGCTGTTCCATATTTCCCACACCCTTACATTGCCCTAGACTAGATACCCCAGAGAACTAAAGGCAAATTCCCATGCACTCAACTGCTGGATATCTTCACTCCTTACATTCTTTTCCCTTGCCATTTCTAGACATATATTATTCATTGTCAGATTGTATGGGCGTTCTCCTGAATGTACACCATAGTCATTTTATTTATACATTTGTCTTACCAAAATGTGAAACAAAGCAAGTGAACACTGCTCCACCAGATTGAAATCAAAACTCAAACACTGCCTTCGGAATCCTCCCAAACGGATTGCAAAATGGCATTATTTTTTTCACTTATGTTTTTATAGGGTTGACATCTATTAAACAGCTGTCAAAACAGTATATCGTAACAAATTGTCATGACATCATGTGAGGTACAATAATAAAAGTGCATTTAACAAAAATATACAGTGGGAGTAATTGATCAAAACTGCAGCCGTTGCCCACAGTAACCAGATTCTCTCTTACATTTTCAAAGCCTAAGGCCTCATTCACACTGCCGCACATATACGCGCGTACGTGTGTATTGTACCATATGCCAATAAATGGCTCTATACACACAGCCGCGTATGGAGCCGTATATTTGCATAGCGTATATATGCGCAAAAACAGAATGGAACAGAGATGAGTCCGGGCAGCGTATTTACGCGCATATTAGCGCGTATAGCACATTAAAAATTCCATTACGGGTGATGCATTCTGGGATTGCATATAGTGCACGCATAGACGCTCGTATATACGCGCATAGACGAGTATCTACGCAATATACAATTTTTCTTGTGTTGTGTGTGAATGAGGCCTATAGAGCAAACTGAATATAGAAGCTGATTGGTTACTTGGGGCAACTGCTCCCCATTCTGTCTGTTCCAGTTTTGATAAATTCCCCCTATTATCTCAAGTCAATGGCAACACCTTGAGATGCTACTGAGATCATTCAGAATTAATTGACAGTAGTATTTGACTAACAGTTGACCTCCTTCTGACCTGCATTTTCAACCAGGTTTTGCATTCCTATAGACTTGAAGCGATCAATAGCCCATTGACACAGACCCTTAAGGAGGGAAGTCTTCAAAAACAAATTGCTCATAGGCAGGCCTTCTGGCATTTTTTCTTTCTGCACACTAAGCAGCACGTGCGTCGTTCAGTGCACAGTCTTGGCCAGAGTTATGCCATCAATGCCCGGGCAATCAAGCTGCCGAAGAATCAGAACCCGCACAAAGACTGCCCTGAAGAGGAAAGCTCCACAGTGGAAGGAGAGCCTGGACATCACAACACTGGACGGGATTGCCAGGTAAGACAGCCAAAATGTGCTAGTATTCACAGCATATCTGCCAGAAAGTGAACATTGTTCAATCAATTTATAACTAACTAATATTCCAGGCAAACAGCTAAATACACAATTTAAATATATACAGTGTGAAAAATATTTATTTGATCCCCTGCAGATTTTGTAAGTTTGCCCACTTACAAAGAAATGAAAGCTCTATATTTTATCATAGGTGTATTTTAAGTGATAGAGACAGAATATCAACCAAAATCCAGAAAAACACCTGATACAAATGTTATAAATTGAGTTGCAGTTCAGCGAGTAAAATAAGTATTTAATCCCTGAGCAAAACATGACTTCGTACTTGGTGGAGAAACCCTTGTTGGCAAGCACAGAGGTAAGACGTTTCTTGTAGTTGGTTACCAAGTTTGCACACATCTCAGGAAGGGATTTTGGTCCACTCTTCTTTACAGATCTTCTCTAGATCCGTAAGGTTTTTGGCTGTCGCTTGGCAACTCGAAGTTTCAGCTCCCTCCATACATTTTCTATAGGATTAAGGTCTAAGGTCTGGATACTGGCTAGGCCACTCCATCACCTTAATGTGCTTCTTGAGCCACTGCTTACCAATGGTTTGTTTGGTGACCAACTGCCTTGAGATCATTCACGAGCTCATCCCATGTAGTTCTGGGCTGATCCCTCATTTTTCTCATGATCATCCTTACTCCATACTTGCACTTTATACTTTTTTTTTCAAATGTATTGTTTTTTTTATTACAATGCTGCATTAATTTGTGTCTTTTATATCTGCCCAGAGTTCAGCTTTAATGAAATAATGTGTAGATCAATGTTTGTTGATAATGACGAACAATCACATAAACAGCTGTCAATAAAAAAAATCAAAGTTCATTTTATTTAGAATATTTCCTTCTAATCAGCACAATGTTTGACTTTGGGACCATCTACAACCAGATTGTGTGAGAAACAGATTCCTGTAGCTTTGCATAAAATATGTAGTCACACATCAAGAGAAACATCAATGTAAATAAACAGTGACATCTTATTCAATGTCTTTGTTTGTGTTTTTTATGCTTCTTCTTATTTTTCTTTGAGCTTTTTTTTTTGCTCTTCTCTGCATGTCGTTTTTTCTTTTTGGCAGGTTCAGAGTCGCGATCAGAACTGGAGGTCGATGAGCCCTCAGAGTCTGAGGAGGCTTTCTTGTCTCGGCTGTGTTTCTTTCTCTTCTTTTCCTGCTGTGAAACAAAAACAGAAGAATGGTTCATATATAAAACACATCACAGAGTCAGAAGTGTCTGTGAACTAAAAATCAAACCAATACAAATCTTCAAAGTGCACACCAGCACAACAATTACTTACATTTAAATCCTCAATCCCTGACAGCTGCTGGAAATGGGAAAATGAGGTAGAATACATATTCAGAACTGCAATCTCATGATCCTCATACAGGAAACACAACATTTTAAAAATTGCATAAACATTTTTTTTTAAAACACCACCATAGCCTGCAGGTTTGCGTTATTCTCTTTACACTAAAGAAGTGAAAGCATTTTTCCTTAGCCCATAGGACTGGACCCTTCTAATTAGCAGAGGGTCCCCTCTAAGCAGAGCAATCTCTCAATCAATGATGCAGGCAGGTTATAGGGAAGTCTCTGTGTTTTACTTGGTTAATGATCCCAGCCAGAGTTAAGTTCAGAGGGCTGGCGATCTGGATCAAAAGGCCTTGTTGTCCAAGTACCTAAGGCTGGAAGGTTGGAATGAAGGGAGAAGTGTGCAACATCACACAAAGTACCACACTAAGGCCCCGTTCACATTGAGCTATTTACTGCGCGGTAATTCCCACGATATCGCGGCTATTTACCGCGTGATATCGCTCTTCAATGCTTTGCAATGGGTCAAAGGGTCCTGCTGTCGCGGGTCGTGTGTCGCTACAGCAGGACCCTTTTTGGAGCGGATTTTGCCGCGATTCCAGCTTGCTCAATGCAAGCATTTGCGCGATATCGCGCAAAATGCAAATTGCGCAACAAACGCGCGATTTGCGAATCGCGCAGTGTGAATGGGGCCTAAAAGTAGTTCCACTCCAGAGGCTGCTACCTAGGACTAGATGTGAAAGGCATTGTCGGGGAAAAAAAGCATTTGTCCACAGATTAACCCTCTCCTGCCCCAATTCTTCCTGCTCTCTGACAGCTCTGGTCCCCAGTAATGATAAACAATAGTGCTAGAATAGTGCTGGAATGATCACATGTAAGCTGGAGGCGTCAATAACAAAGTCTTCAGCTTAAGTAATGGAGCTAGCCTAAAAAAAGGTTATATCACAGGTCCTCACTGATAAATGTGTAATAGCATTAAAATTAAAAAATAAGTCTGCCCCTTAACTCAGTCTCTTTTTTATTGGAATTTTTTCACAAACAAATCATGGAGATTACATATATCTTTTTATTACAGAGATACATCACTTATAGGTTCCTAAACGAGACACTTAATTAATTAAAAAAACTAATATTAGCCCCCTTAAACCCAACACCTCCTCCCACCACCGGCGCTCGGACTTACCCAGCCAGGGAGTTTTCGATGTGTGCACTGCAGGGGGCGGGGCGGGACGTGTGACACACACACGCCTCCTGTGTCTCACCTCCCCTCCCGGCCGCGTCCATAGTAACAGGAGGCGGGAGGGGAGGTGAGACACAGGACCCGCCCCCTCACTGTAAAGCCCGTCGGCAGTGCGGGGCCCCGGTGTTCGAACACCGGGACCCTGCACTGCCCCATATTGCAGGACCGGACCGCACTGAGACTGTGCGGCCCGGTACCATTTGATCCGCGGACCGGGGGTTGGGGACCACTGCCTTAACTGACAGAACTCCATCTAGTGGCCACAGTGTATTATTGAAAAAGCAAACTACATCTCAACTAGGATACGCCATCTAGTGCCCATAATCTATTATTACAACACTATATTGGGGCAAATCTAATAAAAACATTTGATATCAGTGAAGGCTGCGCTAGAATTTATGCAAGTGAATGTTACCAGCTGCAACAAAAGCTCGGTGAAAAACACCTAAAAAACAAAATCACTACTGTGTTGCGCGAGGCTCCAGATTATCCTTACAAGAAAAAATATATATTAACAAATGTGTCCAACTTTTCTAAGTGGCGTGTTCTTACATAAATACTGAATATTTTAAACTTCAACAAAATAAAACTTAGACCGTGTAAACATAAATCAAACAAATCCTTTTGTTATATCCATAATAACATTGATAGCAGTTCAAATAAATCTCTGATTTCAATTGTGTGTTTCCACACGTGAGATTAGGGAACAGCGAAAGGGGTAGTCAATGTTATCACACAGCGATATTCAATTGATTCGGTACTCTTCTGATCTTTCTTGCACAATGATCCTAAATGTGCTCTATGTTGTACTCACCAGATATCTGCTAGATCTTGCTTTCATAGTCAGATGTAGATCATGAGCGGCTTCCTCCAACTAATTCCTCTCCTCTCTTCGTCTATGGGCATCTCTCGCGATGTCCAATCTCCTTATCACTGATTTGTTGCTGGTAATCTTCTCTTTATACTCAGTGATATCCTCCCACAGGATTTCAGAGGAAACAAAAAAGAGGGGCTTCTATTGCGCAGTATGTTAAAAAAGTGGTTTTATTAAAAATAAAAATGCACTTACAAGCAGTGTGCACTGAAAGAGCTTTGCAATGCTCCAAGCACAGGAAACAGCGATAGATTCTTCCTCCTTGACACGTTTCGTCTTGTGACCTTTTCAACACCCGTTTTGAAAAAATCAAAACCTACTCACACCCCTTTTGAAAAAGTCACAAAACGAAACGTGTCAACGAGGAAGAGTCTAAAGAGGAGATTAACAGCAAAAAATAAAATGTAAAAAAAATAAATCGCTGCTAAGGAGATAGGACCCCGCGAGAGGTGCCCATAGACAACAGAGGAGAGGAATTAGTTGGAGGAAGCTGCTCATGATCTACAATACAGAGCACATTTAGGATCATTGTACAAGAAAGATCAGAAGAGTACTGTATAGATTGAATATCGCTGTGTGATAATATTGACTACCCCTTTCGCTGTTCTCTAACCTCACGTGTGCGAAATGTCATCACCCTGTGGAAACACACAATTGAAATCACAGATTTATTTGGACTATTATCAATGTTATTATGGATATAACAAAAGGGTTTGTTTGATTTATGTTTACACGGTCTGGTTGAAGTTTAATGTATTCAGCATTTATGTAAGAACACGTAACATAGAAAAGCGGGATGCATTTGCTAATATATATTTTTTCACGTCAGAATATCTGGAGCCTAGCGCAACACAGTAGCTATTTTATTAAGTACATTTGTTTTTGCAATTATTTGCCCAATCTGAACCTGCACAAATATTTGCAGGGGAAAGGGCCCTGCAAGTTGTTCATAAATAGACCCCTTACCGTGTAAAATAAACTTTGGTTTATAATAAGAGAGGATGCAATTAGGTTTACACCAGCATTTCTCAGATACCTGTTGTAGGAAAAAGAATCGAATATCTGTGTATATGTAAATAAACATATTGCTGCAGTATATTTTGCATTCAATGTATAAACCCAAAACATAAAGCTAAAACAAGCATAGATTATCATATATTTTTGGGGGGAGGGGGGGGGGG